TTAAAAGATTAAAATGAAAAGTGGCCAAGAAAATGTTTCCATGACAGTGTATATATATGTATCTAGGCAAGTAAACAGATACCAGACATTGTGATCAGGCTTATGTAACAGAAAGAAAGAGAGGCAATATACAATGATGCTATATATCTGGTCTGGTATGTTAGTCTTATCACAATGCCCCATATCTCAATTGTGCATCTGTGGCATTTTCAAGAGAGGGACTGAGTTTATAGAGCCCTATATACTCTGTTAATCTGATAAAAATATTTATCTATACACCACATCAGAGTCTTGCATTTGTAAGAGGGATGTGAAGTTGCAGTGCACATTGCACAATGTCAGTAAAACTATTTTTGTATATCTTCACGTATTACTTTGAAATATGATTTGAAAGCTCTCTTTTTTTAGTTGGGTGTTTTTAGGAACAGATCATACAAGATTTATCTTCCCTCTGTTCCTTTTTCTTCATGTTTGGGGGGGAAAAAGTAAGATGCAATGTTCAATGACATGACATGAACAATTAAATAAATGAATAAAAAAAAAAAAAAATCAAAATACTTTTTTGAAATAGAATAGATTCAGTGGTTTGAAATCAAACAATATGTTTGTTTTCTTGCCTCTGTTTTTTGAAGTTGTGCTTTTAACCCTGATGGATCCACTTTCTTTTTTGCTCTGCGTTAGAAAAGTACCCATTCAGCTGAGCCCATTTTAAAATGTATTTTATTCAACACTATTCAAAGAATAATCTAAAAACATGTTCTGGGCCCTGCAAGCAAACACATAACTAAATGTATCCCGCGAGGTCCTGCACTGGTTTTGGAAGATACAAACATTTGAGAATTCTTGTAAAATCTGTGATTTGTTAACATCAGGGAGTTCTGAGGAATACAAACCACAAAACCACCACAGTAATGGGGGAAACATCTGTTTTTAAGATTTATGGATTTTTACAACACATCAAATCAGCATTTGATAAAAGGCATGTTTTTGTACCTGTAGTTCAGTCAGCCTTAATGTTGAAAAGGCCAACAGGATCTTGGCACTAATGGCTGGCTTAATTACTCATTCCATTCACCTGTCTACCTCTGCCCGGTTGCTCATTACCTCTCATTTGATCCACCCACTTCAGCCTCTATTTAAGGTGCTTGAATTCAGTCATCAGGGCCAGATTATCTTGTTCTCTCTAACCAGTGGTGAGAGTGTTTTTAGAGTTCCTTAGTGTTTCTGATTTCCTGATCCTAACCTGTTCTGCCTCTCAACCACTGAGCCTGCTTGTTTTCGTCTGAACAGTTTGCCTGAACTGGACCTCTGAGCCTTCCTATTCTTATCTGATTGTCTGACCTGGCTTCGGATTCCTGCATGTTCTCCGGGGTTGCTGCATCTGGGACATTCTGGACGGCGCCCGCCTCATATTGTTGGCAGCGCACCGGCTGGAATCAACCTTGTTCTCTGGGCACGGACTGAACTGTTTAACCAGAGGTTCCAGCCTTAGATGCCATAAATACTGTTACTGAAGATCTACAGTTCTTGTTTTAAATAAATGCTTTTTGAGTAGTCCATTGTTTGTCTGGCCTTGAATACTGGGTCCTCTGTTTTGAGCCATGACACAGCCCTTACGCACTTTCTAGGTTATGCAGACAGTGGTTGTACAGCTGGCTTGGATCTATATATTTTATATTTATTTACTGAAGTTTGTTTAATGTTCTTGCTTCTCTACATTCTGCAAATGTTTTAATACCTGTCTGTGAATATGAACACATGAGAATTATGATAGCTGTTATTATGGTTAGACCTACTATTTTATATAGTCATCTGCATGCTCCTTATTTGTGAAAGTCTGTTTATTTTTTCATAGTTTCCATAATTAGTCAAATAAAACTGTGTTTCAAGTGACTACGTTCAGTTCATAGTGACATCAGAACTAATCCAGATGTTACTTATTAAACATTGGGGTCTGCTGCTCTCCGAAACAGGGGAGTCTGAATGGTGTCAATTAAATCCAAATGTCACGTATCGCATTGACAAACGTTGAAACACATAAAACACATTACTGCAACAGGTGGAAAAAGCTGTTGTGAAGTGTTCTGGAATAATATAACTCAGGACCACAGAAGGAGTTCAGCACAATACTATTGTTCTGAATGAGTGACCACTTTCCCCCCGCATCATGAGGAAAAGCTTCTCGCTGTCTGGCTACTGTCGGTCAAGCATCCTTTTGCCCAGCTTCGAGCAGCCAGCTTGGCCCCTGCCCCATAGACCTTCTAAGAGGTTTAGCCTCCCTGGTATTCAATGAGAAATCGCCACTGTTATCAAAGTTGATAAAGTTCTGAACCGGAATCTTAACCTTTAAGCCCTTCAACCTCTTCATTCTTATAATGATGAATATTTGTAAATGTCATAATACATTTAACTACATATAACATATTTTTCTATTGTTTCCATATTAACAGGTACACATGAAAAATATGTATTAAATTCAATCTGGAGACATTCAAGAGAAGAAAAATCACAAATTAGAAAGTTTTATTGAAATGAAGAAATGAATAAGTCATTGCCACTCAGACTCCTGCAGAAGACATGATGCTGAATGCATCTGTTCTCTGTGTAAGCAAGTAGGGTTAGGTTAGAGACATCTTTCCCCTTGAAGTCTGATATTGTTGATGGAATGGAGGCAGAAGAATGAGAGGAGCCTTGGTATAAGGGGGGTGAATGGGTGTAGGAGGTTTGCAGTTAAGCTGGAAAGTGGGGATGTCTTTAAAATTGGAGCCCTAGTTATGGAAACATTGGATTTTGCCAAGCGCTAAATTGATGTGTTTCTTCAGTCAAAGCTAAAACAAAAAAAATGTCCATTGCTGTGGAGGTTATCTGCTTCTTAAAATTGACTATTGTATGCAAGTTTGTAAAAAAAAAAAAAAAATCACAATGTATCCACTGTAAAATTCCTCTAGGAATATTTTGACTTTTGATGGGTATTTGTTTGTATTCTTGGCAGAATAGGTCTGCCAGAGAACACAAGCCCCCACCCCTCCCATCCCTGCCTTGTTTTCTTTACAGTTATAGGCCAAACTGCTACAGCTGCCACACTTCCTGTCTGACCCTTAACATTAGACAGCAGGTAAAGTCAGTGCTTGGACATTCCTTCGTGTTGGCTTATGTCAAATTATATTCTAAACTAAACGTTTTGTGCGACTGGAAACATTTCATGGATTCTGGCCCAACATTTCCTAAAAAACATAAATAAAAAGGGGAGAATTTAGTTTTCCCATTCAGTTTTTTTTTATTACAAGGCGTCATTATATAAAGCACAGTCTATATTCTTTGTACTCATGTGTTTTTCAAAGCCTTTGTTCACGTTTATCGACATTCTAAAGTTTACAGGGAAGGTGGGAAAAGATAGAGACAGCTGCAGCGAGTAAGCATATAAACATACAGTGAGAATTTAAACATTATTTTAATGTTTACCAAAATTAGACCAGTTCACTTGTTCTTTGTTTTTATTTTCCATCTAAAATCAGAGTCATTTTAATGTCAAATAAAAAAATTGAAATAAAAAAAGCATGATCACAATATTTCTGCAGGAGAACATCAAGTAACCTTTACAATAGAAGTTTTTGAAAATACAAACAAACATAATATTTTACAATTATACCATCCTAGCCAGAACTCTATTCCGTGTAGGAAAAGTCATTTTTATTCAAGGATTTCATGCAAGTATTTCTACTTTAACACTGAATGAATCATTTTACTTGGTAACTTATTACCATTTCAAAATAACACATGCAGAATGCTAAATATAAAGCTCTGATATAGAGCAGCATACAAACTTATTGAACAAGTAAGAACATATCAGTAAGCTTTTCAAGATAGAAAGGGCATTTCATCTTCAAAAGAATTTTGTATACTTTATATCTAAATTTATCAGAGTTGTTATTGATATGTATTTGATGATTATTCAATGGTTTCCTAGGTTATAAACAAGAATACACACTATGGCCTGTGTTCATTTACCTGTTTGGTATTTTCAATTACCCTGTTTGATCAGATGTATGAATTGTGTTGAAAAAAATAAATATGAAAGTATAATATAACCCCGTTGGATTATTTGTATTCCATGATTACATTTGGTTTTCGGTGTCCTTCTTATAGATTTGAGGGCCTGTCCCAAAAATTGTCTGTGCATGTGACTGATGTGTGGTCTGAACTTAATTATCTACTGTTAACATGAAGCAAGAAAAAAATAATAAGATCCCTTTAAGATATCAAGATATCAGTGCTGTTTGTTTTTTTTCTCAGTTTACAACCTGAAAGGTATGTGCAATTTAAAAATTGATTAGGTGTTCTGCATGCTCCCTCTCCCAAGTATGGATGCATTGAATTTCACACAGAAGCTCAAAGGACAAAGTGCTGTCAATTATATCTATATATGTATATATCTCAATATGTGTGCTGTGCATTCTCATATGCTTGTGAAAGGTCATCAACCGGAGGCCTAGTACTGTTCCAATTCACAAGAACACCAGACCAAGAATGGACAAAGTTCCCAGATGTTGTTCTTGCCCCTCCCTCTTTACCGAGCAGAGCAGACTTGTGTGTTCTCCAGACTGACGGCTTTCCCAGCATGCACCACGGCAGCAGCAGCTTTCCTTGGAGCTCTCACAGAGCTCAGAGCATTAAGTTAAAAGATCTTTTTTTCTCTTTCTGTTATTCTAAAAAAGTAAGTTTTAAGATCATTTGAGGTGAAAAATTATACTTTTAAGCATCACTATGTGGCCCATTTACTGATTTAGTACGTATTTAAAAAAAAAAGTTCCAGTGTTGAGAGGACCTAGGCAACCAGCAGACCTCCGTGGCCAACCGCAGTCAGAGCTAACATTAGCCCATCTGCAGTAGCCCTCTGATGGCATTTTTTTTTATTTTATTTTAAACGTTCATTTGATTTGTGCTTATCTGTCTGTGTTAACTATTAGTCCCCCATTAAATGAAAAAGAGTTAGAATTTATTATTATCTAGAGACTATTCATAACAGGAGGTGAAATCCGACTCCAGACGAGCCGAGCATGTGGTGACCTCACGAGTACGTTTCTCTTCCTATTGACCCATATTTATGTTCTTGAACCTACTTGGCAACACATGAGTCCTCACTTGCGTTTTTATGAATTGAGAAACGGCCTATGTCTTTTTTTCATGTACCATATGCTAAAAAGCTCATAAAAATGTAAACATTGTCATAAATACAAAGTGACAGAGATTTATAAACAAAGCCAAACTGGGTCCATGCCAAGTCTGTTTACTATGGTGGGAATGTTTTTTTTTTCTTTAGCTGGGCTTTATCCACCTTCCTTTATGACCACCCATAATTCAGCATGACTACAGGAACTAGTCCAGGATCAGGGAGCTAACCTTTACAACATACCCATGGCGACCCGATCAGGTGTCATTGGCTCAGCCTTAACAGATATCCACAAGTCCTCGCTGTTGGTGGAATTTTTGTTCTTTTTTGTTGCTGACCTAGAAGAGCCTCCATGACAACAGCAACAACAGCCATTATCACGGCGACAGCAGCAACAGTGGCAGCACACCCCCACGATGGTGAGGATGATTAGCAGAGGGAGCATCAGCAGGACGACCAGGCACACGGTGTTGTAGACCCCCTGATTGTGTTTTTCCACAGCAAAACTCCAAAGCCAGTTGAAAAAATCCTCGGCACTCTGAAAGTTGCCTTCCATAACGTTTATCCTGCAGAGCTGAGTTCCTTCGTTGCACACCCAAAAAAGTTTTAATAAAAGTATGGTGATAAAAATCAAATGCTGTCAAACCACAAATTAAGTGAAGGTGTTCATCTCTGTAAGTTTCTCAATTTTAAAAAGTTCATTTAGATCTCATTTAAGTCTGCAAGCACAAGTCAATCCATTAGTTGTCAAGACAAAGGATTTCTTTCACTTGACAATATTTGTTTGTGGGAGTGTTTTCCTTCAGTTGGCCTTGTTGTTTGGTCTGGATGAAAAAAAATCTTAAATTGAGTTTATTTATGCTGATCAGCATTACCCTAATTGTTTCTCCAAGTCCCTTTGCCCTTTAGTTGTTGCTTTGGTCTTGTCAAGCTGCTGAAATGTTGTGGCTGTGAAGCAAAGAGAAGAAAAGGAAAATTAACACAGACAGAAATTTGCTTTTGCTTTTAGGCAGACAGGCTTATCTTATACCCCTGTTTGGCTTTCCCCACCTCCAATCCCTGTTTCTAACTCTAACATCTCCACTGCTGCTCTCCTTTCTCTTGTCAATGTCAGCTTAGAATATTCCTTTTTCCTCCGTTCAGCTTTTGTTTCATTAATATTGCAGAGGAGTCATTCAGGATTCAGGGCAGATCCCTTCAAGGGTCCCGCTGAGGGAGGACAGAGGCAAAGTGAAAAAGGGAGGACAAAATCGAGAGGAGATTGCATCTGAGGTAAGGCGAGATGGAGAAAGAGGTAACCAATCTTCTTAAGAGTCCCGCTGAGATAGAGAGTGTGACAAAGTGACAGAGGGAACTAGAAAAGGGAGGAGAGATAGACCAGAGTGAGAGCTACTTATCTGAATGTGCGATGCTGTGAAACGTTTGCTTGAAAGAATTATGTTTATCAAAGGAATCAAATTAACCGGTGTGAAAATATGTTTGACTTAATTTAATATAATAAGCTAGCAGTGATAAATCACACTTCTTTGGCTCAGTTTCACAAGTTACACCCCATCTACTACAAGACCTGTAAAATCAGGAAATCACCTAAATCAAACATGTAAGATAAAATAAATAAAGTCCCAAAGCTCTCAAAAAGCAACACATAATGGCAAGATCAACCTGTTAGCTAAAACATTGGGGAAAACACATTTATTTATACCAGTTTGAAAAAGGTTACAAACCATCTTAAAGATTTAGGTGCACCAGTGAAATAAATTGAGAACAATTATTCATGAGCTCTAAGCCTTACTAATGCTGGTGGCTGCTTTTCTTGATGCAAGATCTTCCTGTGAAGGGATGTACAAGTGGCTATTAGGTTTAGTGGTAATTATTTCCTTTTTAAGGTAAGTGTTGGTTGTGATGGTCTTTTCCTTGATAACATTAAGTTTACAGGACTTTCAGAATTTTTTTTCGGAAGACACCTATGCAGGAGTCAGTTCTAGTTCTTCTTCACCAAAGCTGGACTAGCGTGAGCCGACATAACTGACTATGGCTGTGTCCGAATGGGCACTCCTAACACCATTTACGCCATTTTGTAGGGGGTCCAAATGTCTTACAGTGGATGAAATAGCAGTTCAAAATTTCCCACAATGCACCTTGAAAAAGTAGTGTACATGGATGGTCACTAGATGAGCAGATGTATCTGAGAATGCTTTGCAAGAGCTCTTCTCGCAAAGGATTATGCGATTTTTTGGGGGGCACTATGGTAGGAGTAGAACATTTAACTGTGCCCGAGTCACAAGACCACCGAGAAGCGAAAAAAAGTGGTTATACGTCTAAATGATTACTTTACTGAGTGCAATATAGACCCTTTTTCATTTGTGGCCTATTTCTGTGGTCGGAGTATGCAGTAGATAGAGGCAGATTCTCCCCAAGAAATGTAACAATTGTATCTAGTAAGTTTTTTTTAGAAAATCTGATTTCATTTGAATATGTACCCTAACATTACTTACTTTCTGGGGAAAATACATTTTACATTACTTACTTTCTGGGGAAAATACATTTTTCAATAAGTTAACTTTAAAGGATGGAACCAGATCAGTTGACCCATACACACCAACCCAATGCATTGACAATTTGACAGGATTGCCAGGAGTGACCTGACATCTTCACCTAGCCACTTAGGCCCGGCTGGCCCGGTACAGGGCCCAACTGAAACTAGCTCATGTTTATCTATTTATTGAAATGGCCAAAACACAGTCACATTGTTTTTCATCCACTGGCCTTTTAAATGGGGCTTTAAAATTTCTAAAACACGTTTCAAAATTATTTTTTCACAAGTACTTTTTGTGTTATAGCAGTGTAGACAAATAAAATGAGATTTAAAATTCCACCTGACATGTGTGACTCTGTGGGAGTAATGCAACAGCAGGTTTTCATTTTTAGCCACACCCCCTAATGTCTGGCATCATCAGAGACAAGAGGCTTCAGACCTTTCCAAAGAGGGGTCAGAGGTAATTGTGCGACCATTTCAGGTGATGTAGCAGGAAAGCATTACATAATCTATTTCTGTTATTCTTATTTTCTACTCAGTTTGGTGATATTATTGGTAAATTTCAATGAAACAATGGCTAAATCTTAGGAGCAAAGGCTTTGTCTTTTGCAGAAGGTCTCCAATAATGTAAATCTACAGATTCCCTTTTATGAGTGGAAAAAATGCATTTTTGCACTTTTGGCAGTGTGACAAAATCATATTATCGTCTAGCATACTACCCACTAAAATCTTTGTGGAACAAACATGCTTCAACTTATTCATTCCAAATTTGCTTGAATTATAGTCAAGATGTGGGTCTATAAAGTCTGAGGGTTCATCCAAAGTATTAAATGAGGTTTCATGTTTTTTGCAGTGTTTATTTTGGAAAAAAAAAAAATTGGCGAGGCTAAATATTTTTCATTTTTTCTTTTTTTAATCTTATAAATAAGACTTGGTGACATTTAAAATAGTGGTTCCAGCTGAAAAATATTTCTCAATGCACATATGTAATTTTAGAAGGACCCCCTCAGGGATTAAGGGGCTAACTAACTGAAAAACAGAGGGTGATCCACAGTTCTAACTAGCTGCAACAGGGCCAGGGTTTGGGTTACTGCAAAAACAATAAACAGCCATATCTTGACGACAAGGCAAGTTTATTGTATAGTACAATTCAGTATATGAACAAATCAAATTGCTTTACATGAATTAGAATAAAAGCAAAAAAAAAATTAAATAACGAGCAAACTGCACTTACGTAGCTGGTTTGAGTAACGTTCTTAAGCAAGCCGTAATCTGTACAAACAACAGACATTTTCCTTATCTTGATTTACCTGGTAAGTGTGTGCTGCATACAAGAGCATGTTTGATGATCGTATCTTTCCACTCCCTTGTTTTATTGCTTTTAACAAGAACTGTCTTGGGTTCTGCTTTTAACCACAGCTATGTTTTGTCTGGCAGTGGTATTAGGTATGGAATAAAACTTGTAATTGTATTCTGTCGATTCTTGAAACTAACAAATAATAACATGCCATTTTAAGCTCCTTGTGTATCCGACCCTGTGCTAAAGTCTGGTTGCCTTACTATTTAATCTTGTTCTGTGGTTGCTATTACTGATGATGACTGATTTACACAATTTACACAAACAAAATTCAGTTTATCTTTTGAAAATAGATTCTAGTTAATAATATTGAAACTTGTTTGCTGATATGCAACTTCTTATTTTCAATGTAACAAAAAGAATCAGCAACAGATAAAATCTGCGAAGGGTAAATAGTTTTATTTGACTTGTTTAAACTCCAATTACATAGGTCTTTACGTGTTTACTATCTAAAATTAGACTCAGCAAATAACACCAAAATGCTCCCTTTGCCTGAATGAAGCCTTAAGGTAACATCCTTGTTTAAATTGTTTTTTTAAACGGTTTCAAACACCATTTCACTCAAGTGTTCTCTTTAGATGCTCTGATGCTTTCAGCAGTCTTTGCATTCTGGTGGCAGAAAGAAGAAAAGATTTTCACCTCACATTTACTCGCTCAAGATAGAGAGAAAGAGAAGATGACGCACCTGCAAGTGAAGAGCAAATAGGTTTGGCTTCGCCGTCACCCTGCGCTGCGACTCATGTGTGAAATAAGTTTACCCACAGACAGGCGCAAAACCTCACACACTCAGCCCACATCATCTGCTTAACAGGAAGCCTCGTCTAAAGCAACATCTGAAATTTAAAAAATGAGAGCTGTAAAGGATCTAGGATATAAATTCTTAGAGCAGTTATTCTGTGATTAACTTTTATTTAGAACTAAATAAATAAAGTGTGTTTGGCCAGTTTTTGTTATATTGTGGGGACAATTTCCCTGAAATATTCTACATTTTTGGACTTAGAGGTATTCATGGGGACAAATAATGGGTTCACATGAGGAACAGTTACCTTCTTGGGGTGGGGGTTAGGTTAGTGTGACACAACAGGTACGTTTGTGTTTAGATCTATTTATTTCCTTGCAGTGCAAGAGTAAATATTCCTTCATTATCTTTGCATAACTAACTTCATTTTAATTTTTTTTTTACATACCGGTGCTTTTCAATGAAATTACAATAAAATCAACACATAAGTATGTTTTAGTAATTTACTTCAAAATATATTAAATAGATTAATTACTCTGATTTTTATTTTGTTTATTAGGGCTTAAGTTTATTTTCTCAGAAGAAAGGAACATTGCATACAGTCAAAGGGGAAAAATCTAAAACACAGAAACATATTATCCATTGAGTAAGTGTGCTGATCTAAATTACAACTGCAGGGTAGGTTACACACTACAATGACTCTTGTGAAAATTCTGTCATCTGGTGCGAGCCGACAAAGTTGACAGACTCTTAGATATTACCAAAAAAGTAACAAAACAATCCACTGGACTTTGTTTCCAGGTTTGAAAATGTTTCGCTTACTATCTAAAGCTGGGAAGCTTTTTCAATTCAAATGTTTGAAAAATCTCACTGGGTTCAAGGCTCTTATAAAGTAGCCCAACAAAGCCTTAAGAAAACATGCAAGTTAAAATGGACGAATGGTTCCACCCCTTTGTAATGGGGCTCATTTGGCTTATTTGGTTAGGCTGCAATGCCCCATACTTGTCCAAAAGTCGTCTTCAAACTTGGAGACATAGTCCAATGGATTGTTGTTTTTTTTTTATTACTTTTTTGGGAATGACTATGACTTGGATGACTGAGAATCTTCACCAGCAGACTCTTAGATAGGTGTCAAAATGTCTTCAATTAGAAACTGAGCTAAAGTCTGATTGCCTTCCAATTTAAGCCTGTTTTCTGGACAACACGATGACGTGAACATGCTTTAGTTTATAACTAAGATGTATCAATAGCAGACAGTCTTCAGCAGAATGTAATACTGTGATACGGCAGCCAAGGGAGTGACATTATACTGCAGA